GGTCTAGAGCAGTTAGCCAACCATGAACTGAACCTCTGAAACCAAGAGCCTAAATAAACCTTCCTCCTCTAAGCTGCTCTGGTCAGTTATGGTCATAGCGAGTTATGGTCAAAAGCTGACTAACACAGTTATTGCCAACTCACCTGCAAAACTGTATCCCTCTGAAGCATGGCAGATCAAACCTGCTCATGTTCAAATGTTTTAGTAAATATGTCTTGTTCTTACAGAACTTCCAAGATTTAATATATAGAAACTGCTAAGTTAAAAAAAAAAAAGACATGTACTTTGACTATAATTGTACTGAGAAATATGCGCATCAAATAACGAAAAAATAATTTTGTATATAATGATTATTATGTCAGGCTAAAGATCAACTTGAGTTAATGTTTATAACATGGAAGGGCAATTAGCAATTTCAGCAATTAGGACCTGGTTTGTAAAGGGTAAGAAGAAGGGCATCACACTTTGTGAAATCACTACCTCTGTTTTTAAGGACACACACGCACTAAGGTGTGTCTCTGCTAGAAATCATAAAATATGTGAATGCACAGGAAAGGTAAGCACTTGAATTCTTGTCAATGCATGTTGAGGAACACAGGAAAAGTTTTCCAAAAGATGTCTAGCTGAGGGAGTAACGGAAATGATTTTGGCTTTAGTGCTGGTTACCTGGGAATAAGCCTTTGCCCAAATCTCATACTATTCACTTAAGATCTGTGCATTTTACTCTATCCAAGGTATTTCTCAAAAAACACAGTAGAGGGCTACAGCTCTGTGGTGCCTGTCTAGCATGTGGCCCTGGGTCCCATCCCTTGTAATGCAAAAAAAAAAAAGCAAGTAGCATCAGCTGACCTGCTGGGTCACTAAGTCTCTCTCTGAGCTTAAATCAGGTAGCCTCAGTCTTCCCATTTAAAAATAAGGGGATTATGTTTAATGGTCACTAAATTCCCTACTTTGAGGGTCCAGTTGATAATTTTTTCAAAAAGTAGCAAATAATTTCCATATATTTTTAACCTGACTTAGAAATTTGACCATTTTGCATTTTTTTCTCTTTTTTCTTGTTTTATTTTAGAACTTTGACCATTTTAACTTTAAGTTTCAACTACACTAAATAATACATGAAAACAATATAATTACAAAAATAAATGTAAATGACATGGAAAAGGCCCAAGGTCTCCCTGGCTCCCTCCCCCCGGCCCTAGGGACCTGTCTTCCTGGATGGCAGTGTGTCTCCCAGGCTGTCTTGGTTGCTGGAAAAGCAGGGCAGCTCCATGGCCGAGCATGAAGATGTGGAGTGCTGCTGTCCACGTCCTCAGCCCACCCACAGCATGGAGAACCTTCTGGAAGTCACTAGACTTCCTGTGCTTCAGTCTCCCATCTAAAAATGGCAACCAAAATGGTGCTGCTGTGAGAACTGGGGGCAGTATGCTCCTAGAACAGAGCCTGGTGCTCAGCAGGCATCGGTCACACTGGAAAACAGCTTCCTATTTCATAAAAAAGTACCTACACTGGCTCCCTCCAATTCATTTGAAGAAGAAATCATTTAAAGATGCATCCTGGCTAATGACTTGGCCCAACTCACCACATTCCACATAAACACACTCAGGGAAATATTTCTCCTCCTGGGACATTTCATCACAGATCTTGAGCCCAAGGTTTCATCAGTATCACGAAATACACCTTGTAGATGAAAGAAAACAGGCCATCAAAGTCCTGTTATTGACATGTTAGGTTTTTTAGCCGGGAATAGCAGCAAACACCTGTAGGCCCAGTAATCAGGAGGCTGAAAGAGGAGGACCACAGGACCCAGGATTTCCAGACCAGCCTGGGGAACATAATGAGACTCCATCACAAAAAGAAAAAAAAAAAGATATAGATTTGGAAGAATTTAATCGTGGGAAGAGAATTCAAGACAGCCTTGTCCAGTCTTGACTCTGCTGTTCTGTCCCATTAGTAAAAAACCAATAGTCAGGACACATGGGACTAAGGACAGCTGAGAGATCACATGTCTGAACACACTGCCTGATAAATGTCTGACCTTTGTCTCTAGTCTTATGGACAAGGGTCCAAGGCGCTTGTCTATTGCTCATTTAGCATTTATTATGCAAAAGATTTTCATTTCTTAATATAGAATCTAAAAGGGGGAAGAACCCTGCCTAGTGAGATTAGGATTTACTATGTTATCGATGCGGAAAGACTTGGAAATGAAACTTTCGACTGAGAAAGAATAAAGTACCACGTTTTCTCCCACTCAACTTCAATCAGTGCTTCCTATTTCATAATAAAGTACCTACACTGGCTTCCTCCAATTCAGTTGATAAGTGATAAGAGCAGGAGCCAAAGGTCCCTGATTCTGTCTTCATGAAAGGACTTTAACTGACAGCCACTTAGTCCACAAGCCAATAGCCTTAAATAATGAAAATTCAAGGACCCTGACTCCAGCTTGCACAGTCCAGCTCTGCTCAGGGACAGATGTTCCCTCTGTTGGGGGACACCCTGCACATGCAGGTGACACAACAGCTCTCAGGACAACACACCCTACACCCTCATGTAGACATAGTCATAGCTGAATTTAGAGTGAATAAGGATAAGCCCAACATACTGTTGGCCACCTCTCCTCAAAAGTGGGTCAAGCAAATGCATGAGCTGGCAGCTGTGCGTCTGTACACATGCACCCATGCGGTGCCCTGCTGGAGATGAGAGAGACAAAGGGCACAGAGAAATCATGTTTCCCTGGCCTTCTTGGCTGAATGCCATATCAACACATTTCCAAGAGCAACGGTTGACCTCGGGTAGCAGAGTGAACTATGGCCTTAGTGGTGTGATTCAAAAATTCGCTGCCCCAGATTGCTCCTCCCTCTCCCTTAAAACTGCCTGACATCCTGCATTTGAGGCTTACTCCTTTAATTAAAAGTGTCTTAGAATGTAAATGTCCTCAGGACAATGTGTTAGGGCAGAAAATCGTCAATCAGTCTTTCCCGCTATGGCAGAATTCACTCCATTTTTTCCTTTTCTCCCACCAGCTGGTGGAGGTATCCAATCTAAAAGACCGGAGTTGTCAGGCTATGCTTTACTGTTGCTGTCTTGGCTTTGACTCGGGAGAATATAAATGGGGTGGAAGGGTGATTTGGGAGCAGGCAGCCCTACCATGGAAGGGTGAAGAGAGCAGCAGAGTGGCCACTGGAGAGCAGCAGGAGGCCCCTGACCACTCTGGGCAGGGAGGGAACCCAGCCAGTGAGCGCAAGCCCAAAGAAGCCCCATTATTTCCCAAAGTTGGGTCCAGACTATTTCAGAGCCCACGGCTCTCCTTCTGACAGCTTCATGAGCTCTGCTCATCTTTCAAATTAATAATGCAGTGATTGATGAGGAAGCAATTTTTCTGTGTATAAACTAAATTAAAAATGACTTAGTATCCACATTTAAAAAAGCACAAGGAAAAATTAAACACATGCTCGCTCACACACACACACACACACACACACACACACACACACATCCCATCATGTACAAGTGGCAATTTAGGTGAGGAACAGAATTCCCAAATTGCAATCGATATAGAGAAAATGACCCCAACTCACTGAGGACAAATGAGGGCTGGTGGAGTCCCCTGTGTAATGGCTTTGGGGACAGAAGACTGTCCTCTCCCCTCCGCACCGTGCTGTCCTACATTCATGCAGCCGTGGCCACAGCTGTGTTTGGAGTAGAATGAGGACAAACCACACACAACACTGGCCATCTCTCCCCAAAAGTGAGCTAAGAGAATGTCTATACAGGTAGCTCTGGATTGGCTTCAGATAATCAAGTTTCCCAAGTCCACCTGGATTGTAAACTTCACCCAGGTGCCTGGTGAAACCAAACCGTCCCTCAAAATCTTCACTGGAGAGGCCTGGAAAGGGCCCAGGAGACTGTGTTTTTCTCTAGCACCTCTGATGATTTTTGTTATCAGGCAAATTTTGTAAACACCAACATAAGAAGCTATGATTTCAGGAAGGAGGAGAGGCAGGAGGGAGTTTGTTTCTCATTTGAGCTTGGAAATATGCCCTGGAGGATAAAGCAGGTTCTTATTTGGGGGCCAACCATTGCCTGTCCTGAGCTGAGAACTTTCCATGATGTCAATACAACATAGGAATCCCAGATAAAGAGGGAATTCAGCCCTTGTACGTGCCAGCCTATTAATATCCACCAGCTCATTCGCCTTTGGGAAATATACAATGAAGATCTATGGTCATGCAGCTTGACGTGGGATTCCTGGATGCGAGGCAGCAAAATCCAAGTTCAACCAGCACAAAGAAAAAACAGAAAAATGCATCTTGATAGTATAATGTGCAACCAGAGTTCTGAGATAATAAATTCAAGTTAGTCAATGCAGGAAGTTGAAATGTGGGTGCTATATGAGCCATTTGAAGAATGGCACTCATATGAAGCTCAACTTCTCACAAGAATTCCCTCCCACAGGCCTGTGCCCCTGACAGCAGCCTCACAATACGTGGCTTAGGAAGGGAACACAGGAGGATAAAAAAGTAATTATACTGAGCGACAGAATTGTGAGGTTCTACTCCTTTGTTTCCTTTATTGTTATTTTAATATGGTGTGATAAATAGGAAATTAGCAGTTGTTAATATATTACTTGTAATCACTCACTACTATTTTGTCAAAAAACAAATGAAAATATTTCTTAATGCCGAGAGGGTCTGTTTACTAGCGTCTCTATTCACGAAAAGTGCTGTATTGCATCAACACATTCCTTCACCATAAACTTCACTCTCACTCACAGAAACAATGTAAGAAGCATTGAAAGTCATGTCTCAATTTAGAAAAATCATCTTACACCGTATGAAAATAGCACTGGGCATCTTGAAAACTCGAAGGATGCTTCAGAAGTCTCTGAAGTGGAGGGGAAGGAGGGGGCGGGAAGCAAGAGAGAGGACTCAGCAAGACCAGCTGCCTGCGGAGGGCCCGGGTGCAGAGGCCCCACCCTTGCCCACCACCTTCCCAGCCTGAGGCTGGGGCCTGGGAAAGGCACTGTGCTTAGTCCCAGCACCTTCTCCCCAGGACAGGAGGGCTCTCTGGCAGAAAGGTACAGTTGGGATCGTTCCATCTGGGCCTCACGGCCCTTTCATGTTTTGATAAAGGAAGAGCACAGTGGGTCTGGAGAATTATCACAAGCAGGACTGAGGCTCCTGAAGGTGGGATGAAACCACTGATATCAGAGGGAGGAGCTGGAGACCAGCCCTGGGGGAATGGGGTGGAGGGGTCATGGCTGGGGGGTCATGGCTAGGGAGGGAAAGGGCAGAGAAGGAAAGGACAGGCCTGAAGAGAGCCCAGGAGGACCTGCAGCCTTGCTGCTCTGCCACTGTGTGCAGACAGACAGACTGACTGGGGGTGCTCCTGGAGGCTGCTCCCAGCAGGCTTGGCTGAGTGTTGCTCTGCACAGCCCATGAGCATCTGCTTGTCTGACCACAGTCTAGCATAGGATCTTGGCTTCCAGAGGATTTGCTAATGGGGGCATAGCTGTGCAGAAGAAAGGCAGGTGCTCCCTGCAGGGAGATCCGTGCTTTCCCTCCTCCCAAAGCTTAAAAATTCAAGGTTTGGAATGAATTTGGACTAAAGTTCAAGATGACTTCTTCCCACTCACCCACCCTCTGCCCCCAGGTTAATATATTTACTGAAAAGAATTTAGATTAAAAGCAGAATTTTCTCCTTTTCTACTTTGGTTTGAGGTTTACGTTGTTCTTTATGTTAACAATGATAACTGGGTTCACCCTTACAGCTAGTGAAAAAAAGAAAAGAAGGAAATGTTCTTTAACTCAAGACTTACCTCCCCTGGAGCCAGTCAGAATTCACACTCCCACCCGGAATCCATCTCCCATTTTCAACCAGAGGCCCTGGATTGGAGACATCACCACACCTTCATGGGACATCATCTGCCCTGACGGTATTTCCATATCACTGCTTTAGCACTCTAGACAGCAAGTTCGGAATTAGAGGCATTTGGGGAAGAATTTTAGAGACTGAAAAGGCTAGAATAAGAGATTGATAGTTGAGGAAACAGGCAGAGTCTATGCAAAGCCCATGGACTTGAAGGTGTACAGTGCTTTCACGTCAATACACATCACAAAACAACGGCTCTTGTGTTTCCCACGGGCAGGCTGTCTGCTAGTACCCATCTCACCGTTTCCCACCTACGAGCTTGATGCTACCACTCCATCTCGCCCTGAAGGAAACAGGCCTACTAGGGCCAGGATCACACAGTCCCTCTGCTGACTCCATAACCTGCTTGCTCAGGTACCAGGCCTTGCCACCCCCCAGCAGTGTGATACGCCAAATGCTCTGGGACCTTCTCCTGCAGGCTCTCCTGGCCAGCACTTCACTCTGGAGGGTGTCCCTCCTTTGTGTTCTCATGGCTGTTATCAGTTACCTCCCAACAGGGACTGCGTATCCCTTGAAGACCTGTCCATGGCTTACTTATCTTCCTAACCAGCTGTCTGGCAGAGAGCAAGAGCTTATAAGATGTTGAAATAAGAGACATGTAGGGAACATGCCAGAATTAAACATTTATTATTTTCAAGTTGAAACTAATATATTTATTCTTTCATTTTATATAATTGGCATTACTATAATTTTCTTTTACAACATAACATTAATAGTTGATATAGATGTATTGATGCAGATTTCAGCCTTCACTTTCTGCCCAACAGCTCTGTGTTGAAGGAGAGAGAAATGAGACTTTAAGTGGTCACTGAGCAAAATTTAAAATATTTCTGCAGATGTAGTAGTGCACGCCTGTCAACCTAGAAACTCAGGAGATTGAGGCAGGAGGACTACAAGTTCAAGGCCAGTCTCAACAATTTAGCAGACCCCAGGTAACTTAGTAAGACCCTGTCTCAACATAAAAAATAAAAAGGGCTGGAGATGTGGTTCAGTGGTTAGGCTCCCCTGGCTTCAATCCCCACTACCAAAAATAAAAACAAAATATATATTTGTCTATATTTTTCAAACAAGCTCAGAAATTCTTTGCACTCTGTATTTCTGTTGAAGTTGGAGTACGGTGTGTTTATAAACCCCTTTCTGCTTCTAAATTATGGGTGCCGCAGTCTGGCTGGGCACACAATCACGAGCCACCACACAGCTTGTAGATTCAAACAGCAACTCTTTATTCCCAAACTCACACCAGCCGTCTACAATCACGTTCTGGGGAAATCCACGTTCTCTGCCCAAATCCACCACCACTGGGCTTCTGTGTCCCAAAAAATACTGTCTGAATCCCGTGAGAACTCAAGGGGAACTCAGGCAGCAGGATACGCCCTATTCCCAGCAGGAATAATCTTAAACCTGGAATGCCCTAAACCCGATTATCCTAAACCGGGAACACCCTAATCCGCCCTGGTCCTTGAGCAAGGTCACCTCCATGCAATGTCACTGCAAAATGTCCTATTTCCACGAGTCCTTCCACTAAGCAACATGGGGTACGCTGGCAAGGAAATTGTCATACCTACTTGGCTAATGGCTCCCAGCATCTCCCCCCTTCTGATTAATTAAACAACAAGCAATGTGGCTTAAGGACCGTGCCTGGTAGGTTGTCCAATTCAACATATGGTTCCTACCCGTCATCGGAAAACTGACCTTTAGGCGTCAGCCTCCTGTCTTA